AAAAAAAAGAAAAGAAAGAAATAAATGATAAAGAAACCTTCCCATTCAGCTCCTCAGCCTACTAGAAACAAAGGAGTCCAAGAACCAGAATGTACAACAATAGAAGTATTAATGTTGGAATTAACTTTGAAATAAAAAACCTATCGGTATAATAACTGCCTATATAAAATAATGATTTTTCACAATATGTAAATACAGGTGTTCCAAACTCTGTTAAAGACATTATATGCATAGTTAGCAATAGTTTTAAGTAAAAATCTAACAATTAATGCATTTGCTACACTGTGTGCCTGATGGTTTTATTATAAGCAAATGAACTTAGTGGAAAACCAGAAGGGGGTGGGGGTTTCTTTTTCATTTAGTTCCCAGGGGTTTTTTTAAGGTGTATGGTGAAGGCTGTGAGGTGGAGGGTCCTGCCTTTGCAGACTTCTGCAAACAAATGTGGAAGCCAGGAGTTAATATCAAAGCATTTCAGACTGAAACAATGTCCAACAATTACTTGCACAGTAAGTCTTGCAAGGAAAAGCAGAAATTCAAGGGGCAATTTTTAGGCCACAAAAGTCAACAAAAAAGAGATCTTTAAAACTTACCATCAATATCTTGCTCAATGATATCTCTTTGCTTCTGGAATATCTCTTTCAAACTGACATAAGCAAAACCAATATCCTCACATTCCAGGTCCTGCTCGTCTTCTGGGGGATCACTGACCACTGTAAACTTTAGGCTAAACACAAAAAAACCCCCCCAAAAACAAACAAACAAACAAAAAAGATATTTTACCTTCAAAAAAGGTTAAACATCGAATAAAAAACCCATAAAAAAGCCAAACCCACACTATTTTAAAAGTGAATTATATTCAACATTTCCCACTGCAAGAATATTCTGAGATCATCTCTTTGAACTCTTCCCTCCTCCTTTAGGATTATTTAGCAGTACTAAAAGGACAGAGAGGTTGTAACCCCAGATCTTCAGGCTTACAGAACTGATTTGTTTAGTTGGTTTTGTGTTCTTTTGTTGTCCTGCCAGTACATATATGTAAATATTTGTCACTAAACCCAGAGACCTACTGAAAATGTGTGTTTAAATAAATGGTCTAGAGGTAAAAAAGGGAAAATATCACAGCTGTTTTCAACAGGTGGCTCGATTATAATTGATTTAACTTAGGATTTTGACAAAGAGCTAAGCAGAAGCAAAATTGCCAAAACTCAATAAAAAAGAAATACTTAGATGTGTAAGATAAATATTAAATAACATTAAAAAATTTGAAAATTATAATAACAACAACTGATAAAACTGGGTACTGGGAATAGATCTGTTTTGATTCAGTGTCAATGTTCAATCAAATCAATATGGGGAAATCAGCTTGGCACCTAAGACAGTGATAGAAGAGGAGATTAGTGCTGGAATAATTTTTAACTTACCACTATTACTAAAATTTTCAATAAAGCATAAATTAAAAGCAGGTATAGTGACATCTGGGACAGTAACTTCTTGCCAAAGGGGAGAATCATTCATACAGACCCAGCCTGTGGTTCAAATCAAACCCAGGTTTTTTACATGCTCAACAAAACATGCAAATAAGAGTACCTCTAACCTCTTAGAGTTCCAGTCTGCCTAAAAGATGGTAACACTGCATTAAATCTTTGCTGCTAAGCAGGAAGGAGGAGATTTGAACTCTGGATCCCAAGGGAATACTCCAACTGGTGGACATGTATGAACAGTACCACAATCACTTGGACTTTTGTAATTTTAAAAAATATTACGAGCTTGAAGTTTAGAAAACCATTTAAATATGATCTTTGGTATGCCTTAGCTCATCTTCTTCATTTACCAGAGACCCTGGGTAGTTATGTGTTGATTTCTGGGGGTCACCTCGAGTAGGACAAGGCAAAGCATGAGCCCTGTAGGAGATTTCCAGCACTGATCTGTACCTGTCAGCAGGTGGATCTGCCTTCAGAAGAATCGACTTGAGATACTCTCTTTCTGCACCATTATGTGCCTTATCCACATTTATCACTGCAAAGGAAATCAAAATGGATATGATTAGTTATCAATTGGTTTCAACCTTTTACGAGAAAGGACATGGAGAAAAGAACGAAGAAAAATAAATGTTTCTTTTGGGCATCTTAGACTAAGAAGGTACCTTCCTTCTTGCAAATTTACTCTGTGGAATACTATAAAAATTCAGGATGCAAAAACTGAAGAAGTGCTAAAGGAGTTACTTTTTTTTTTTAAGAAAAAAATTTGCTAGGACAGAATTTGAATGAATATACATCCCTCTGAGGAACAAACATAGCTCTTTGGAACAGTTTTCCTTTGCTTTTGAGGGGAGGAGGAGCTAGAAATGCATCTGTCTGTAAATTCCAACATTTTTACTATTCATTCTCTTCTATTTCTTTTAGATCTTTTTAAAACAGTCAGGCAGTTCCAGATATAGATAATGTAAAATGTGTTATTTATTAAAGGAATTAGTAATTTTTAGATAATTTATGGATTTACCCTGATTTTCTCCATACAAAGGTCTAAAAAGACTATTAGTTTCCTTCTAAGCTCAAAGTAAATTTCTTTCTACCCATGCAAATCTTATTTTTATTTAAGAAAATATTCAGTTAACCTCCAATATTCAGCATACTCAAATCTAATTAGACATGACTGGAAGATGCAGTAAAGCTGCAGCAAACACAGATGCAGATTTCATTACTATAATCTCACTGGCTTCTCAACTGCCTTTATCAAAAGGCAGGCTCATCAGGGTTTTTTCCCCCATATATGCAAATCTAATCTTGAGTAGAAATTAGGTGACCAATTATCCAAGCAAACCTCTGCAAATCACAGCTGCCTTAGTGTTATGCTGCAGGATACAGCCCTGGAGCAATTCATCCTGAAACCCCCCTCTTTATACTGATTCATTAGGAACTTGCTGAAGCTTAAACTTTTGAAGTTCTATAGTCCATACTGAAGCAGCAAATAGAAAAATCAAAGTTATGAAGCCAGGATTAACAGAACCAATACAATACAGCACTACCAGGCTGGAAAGCTTCATAAATTACAGTCTCTACAAAGCATGATACTATTTTCAAATATCACAGCTTGAAATGTGTTGAAGTTTCCTAATTGTCCTAAAAGTCTGCAGTTTTATTTTCTATTCATCATAATTTTGCTGCATTTCATTAGTTTAATTTTGCAGAGTTGATACTTAAACAACTAATATGCTCAGACTGTAGCTAATATACACAGGAATCAGAATATTGTCTAAGAACTTTTATACCTTCTAAAAGCTTCTTATATTCCAAGCAGTGAGAGTTCCTGCGGCAAGAGAAATTAAAAGCATTTAAAAGCTTTTAATGGCTTGTGGTATTATTTCAATGAGGTTTTAAAAATATTCCTGCAGCTATGTCTGCCTGTCTAGAACATTTGGGGGAGTTTACACCTCAGAGAAGGAGCCCTTAAATGATGATTTATTTAGTGTATGATGGCAGAAATCTCACTGGTTTGAGGGGAAGCAAAGCCTCAGCCAATGGAAGACTCAGCTCAAATCAGGTTGGTAGATGGTAGCAGTTTTAAAGATCTGACTGGGACACCACTTCTGCAAAGCCACTTTTACAAAATTATTTTAAAAAAAAAATGTTTAATTTGAATGTCTGTATTAATGGTTTGTCAAAAATAGCAAACTCATTCACCTGCTCCAGGATATTGTCACCTAAAAGTCCAAGACACCATGAAGCACTCAGACTGAATCTTAATTGAAATAGACTTTAACAGGAAAGAATAAGTTAATGAATAACTGAAATACTAAGAAATAGCTGGGAAAATCATTAACAAGAGAATTATCAATTATTACAATAGTTCTATGTATGCCAGTAGTGTAAATATAAAGTATTATGAAATAATTAGCAATGTATTAGTATTAAACATGGGTGAATAGTTTCCCATATTACAAAGTTGTTATTAGTATTTGCAAGTGATCAAGTCCAATTACATATTCTCTTTTCAACTGTATTTTAGTTGTATGTGGTTAGACAGAATGTTTTTCTTTTGCTGTATCATCATGTAAATAGAAAAAATAGTTCATCATGCCCTTTTAAAAAGAATATATAAATTTGTTATGCACACTCTAATTTTCAAATTTACATGCTACCAGCATATTTAAATATATTGTGATGTTACTACTTCATGCACGAGCCTACTTCAGTATTTCATTTTGTACTTGAAAATTGCATCTTTGCCTCATTTCTTAAAAACCACCATTAATATTTCCTAAAATATGTGGAAAGCAGACAAATGCAGTGTGCACACAGATGAACACAACCCTTGTGGCCAGGAAGGAGGCTCCACTGCAGGCACTTCCCTGTGCCCCAGCTGGAGGGAACAGCCTGCTCAAACACCTCCCACTCACCTGTGCTGTAGTTATAGTGAATCCTCTGGCCAGCCCTGGGCTTGGGGAGTGACAGGGGGGTCTCCTCTGCCAGGAAATGGTTTAATCTGCACTCCACAAACAGCTGCTGGATGGTTTCATCCGAGGTAACCCGTGAGTCACTCAGAGCAAGGGACGTGATTTTAATCCGGATTTTTTCCGCTTCCTGTTTCAAAACAAAACACAAACATAACCCAAAATTAACCCCCAACAAACATTCACACATGTAAACCAGCAGCTAGTTTGTCTGATTAATGCTGACTGACTGATTTTTACATATACACAAGGAGAATCCAAAGCCCCAGGGTTTGTACTGAAGACTGTTGTTGCAAGAGATGCTGATTTCTATTTGATGTTTAAAATATTTTTGCAATAGCCACAGTCTGCTGGAGATCAGGTTATCTTTATGTACAAACACTGTCTGAAGCAGAAATTTCAGTTGTCATCATTTTTAGCTACACAGCAAACTGATCTTGTAATAACTGCTTAAAACAGTTGCAGTGATACTGGGTACAAAAGTTTTCCAGATGAAAGAGGATTGTTAGTACCTCCTGCAGTTCAATAAAAATCCATCAAGTCACAAATTGTTAGGCATGTAAAGTAACAATGTATTTGCAAGGAACTGAATGTCAAATACTGAACTTTCCCAGGTAAATCTAACATACCTTTACAAGTTAAAATTAACAATATGGTAACAAAAGTAATATCCCAATTGTTCTTCACCAGAGTCTTTTTTTATTGTCTTTAACTGAAGTTATATTTTTCTGTTCCTTATATGAAATTTTCATACTGTTCTGCAAAGTCTGGAGTATTTGTGTGCAGATAACTTTTAATAAGTTTGATGTATTTAAGTGGGAATGTCAGACCCAAGAGAAAGAATCACAAAGAGTGCCCTGGTTAACTCTGTAATTCAAGGAAAGAAAAGCCACTGTGGTATCAAAGTTGGAATACCCAGGTGAGCACTCAAAGGTGACATTCTTCAAAGAGCAAACAGAACATGCTGGAGTACAGAAAGGTCAAAGAATGGTTTTTACTTCTTTCTTTTCAGGTTCATAACTTCGTTAGAAGTATTTCCCCTACACTGAAATATTTTGACAACTTTTGATTGTAAACTTAAATCACTTGAAGGACTAAACCATATTCAAAAGATTAGCTTTCTAACTCTGTCAGAACTGCAGATCAATATTCTTATTTATTATGGACATAGCTTACATTTTTCCAAGCAAATTATATAATTAAACTGAAAAGCAGGTATATCCTATTGTAAAAATATCCATCATAGAGAACACCTTCCATTGCTGTCAAGTTCTTTCTGTATTTGATGAAGAATTTTACCCTCTTCTTTCAAAACATTTCCTTTTATTATGTATCTTAAGCCACTTCAACTAAACCCCCAAATCTGATTATTTTAATAAGGTTATTTTACTATTCAGTTGATTAATGGAAATTTAACTAGGATGACAGAAAAAATTCCACACCATTCTGTCTCCACTAATCCAGCTGGCAATATTACTGGGATAGCACAGAACAATGAAAGAGTTAAAGGAATTCTTTTCCTAAAATCTAGTAAGTCAAATGACTGCCAAGGATCATTAAAGTGATGGTCCTTGACTTGAATTATGGTTTTCATATTCAAATTTGTAAATCAAATGAAACAAAATGAAGTATTCTTTGATTAATCCTACATCATAGACAAGAAGAAGCAAATGGTACAGCCAGGCACTGGAAAATCTGTTAGATATCCCTTGTGATTAATATAAGAAATAACCATGAACTGTCTAATTTGCAACATGCAAAAAACCCCCAGTATGATCTTAAATGGCTTAAACAGTTTGGCAGATTTACAGGATAATCAGCACAATGAGTTCTAAAAATCACAAAATGTATTTACAGTATTTGATTACCAGAAGGGAAATTATCTTAAAAGATAAAAGACAGTAATTTTTAATCTTTGAAAAAAAAAAAACAATTCAATAACAATTTTGACAGCCATATTCTGTAGCTCAAGAATTCAAATAAACCAATGCCTGCTTTTTATATCCATCTTGTATCAAATGTGTTGCCTTAGTAGTTTATAGCTTTTATTATTTTATCTACCCTTCATGAACAGGCACTTTGTTACCAGAGGAACAGACCAGTGGAGAAAGGCAGAAACAGATGAACCTGAAATGAATCTACACACAAAATTTTCTCAGAAATTCTCATTATTTCTTAAATAATTTTGATAAAATAAAATACAGGATGACTAGAAAAGTACAAAGCAACTGTATTATAGTTTGAATTAATACTGAGAAGTAGCAGTCCTTTTAGTTCTCAAAATTACAGATGAAAATTTTTTAATGTTTTACATATAAATAATTCAATCTTCAAAAGTACCTTCTGTATCTTTCTTAAGAACACAGAGTGACAGCAGTTCTACACATCTGTGTAGCTGAAGATGTGTAACAGCTTTTAAGATGTACCTTTTACAGCTGAAAGAAAAGGGCCAATATTTCTCATATGTGTTTCTTGTTGCTAGTTACTTTGTAAGATGTCACAGAACCTTGAAAAGAGCACTTCAAAAAATCAGATTACCTCTAGGATATCCCACTGCAGAACACTAAAACTGGTTAAAACTGACTGGATATAAAATTACACCCCTGGTCCTGTAAAAGAAGGACCATGTTCTAAATGTTCTTCATGTTCTAAAACTCCCTGAGGAGACCAAGCCCTCTCAAACACCCTCTTCTGGTAGTGCAGGAAAGAATATTAGGAGGCATTATAAACTGGAGTCCCAATTTGCTGAGGAAATGGCAATAAACACAACAATAACAGTAAAAGATGGCACAAAAGAAGGAGTGGTTTAACCAACAAAGGCAAGATGTCACTAGTTTGTATATTATGACTTCATGTCCTGAATTGCTGGTTTGAAGAAGTCAAGAGATTGGATACTCTGCATGTACAACTTCACTGAAAACTGATGTTAAATACAGCAAAGCCACTCTTAGAGGACATTAGAGAACTATTTTTCTTAGTCTTACCACATTGCCATATACACTCTGATTCAGCTGTTTAATATTTGTGGATACTGGACTTGAAATGATACAGTCATCACTGTCAGTTTTTATTGATTCAACAGCATCATCCTCTTGTCTATCATCTTGATCTGAAAAAAAAAATCAGTGTAGCTAAAACCTTTATTTTAGACAATCTGAGACTTGCTGAGAAATCTGATAGTACTACATTTCCTTTTCTAATAAATAAAGAATAAGTGCCAGGTAAATCTTCTCTTCATTGCAGAAGATTTAATACTGCAAATCAATGACCTTTAGAGTCACAGAAACTGTATTTTTTTCCTGGTCTGTTAAAAAAATAGTAATATTTCCCAGATGAAAGGTGGCAAATAGAATGACATAAGTCCTGTGATGAACTGAGGTATGAACAACTGTTAGCTTTATATAAGAATGTGGCCTGAATTTGTGGATTTCCTCTGACTTCCTTTAAAACCATGCACATGTAAAAGAAGAATGCACCTTTTTTTTTTAATAACAAAGTAATTCTGTATGCAGATGGATTATTTTCTAGAGCATTCAGGGGGTTTTTTTCTCTGAAGCAAATTACTTATAATAAAGACAACATCACGTTTTTCCAGCCTTTCTTATGAATTCTTATGCAGAAGCTGAAAACAATTAAACATTAAATTTTAGCATTTTGCTTGTGCTTTTACTTTTAATTTGGTAATGTGGACTTGGTTTATTTCAATACTAAGCAGTTTAAGCTCAGAGGTGGAAGAGGATTATATAATCTTTAAAAAAATCTTAAATAGATTATATAATCTTAAATAAATCTTTATAGGTTATATAATCTTTAAATAAATCTGCCTCTAACACCTTTAAGTTACAGATGTGATAAGGCATACCACTCCTCTCACTGTCTGAAAGGATATCTGAGACCAGCATTGGCTGTTACCTGCACACAAAAGGAGCATATTCATTAAAACAGTCTTTAGAACAGCCCATTTCTAAGGGAGAATATAAATATCCTTTAATATTTTATGAATCTAGGTAAGATACCAGATTTTTGCAATCAACTACAATGCAGTTTCCATTTGGGAAGATCATCCACCACCCAGCTCCAGCTTGTAAAGCACCCCAGAATCTCAGTTCCTCATAATGAGGCAGCTCCCATTGCTAGTAAGAAATGCTTATGAAAATGGGAAGAGCCAAAATTTCTAAAATACAGCTACTTATCAACAACAATGAATTCTCTACCTTCTGGTTCCAGTTCTTCAATGACTTCTGTCTCATCTGCAGAAGGAGCTGCTGTTTGCTCAGGTAACTGCTGCTCAGAGAGATGGGAGAGCTCTTCTTTTCCCTGCTGAATTCCTTCAGCCACCTCCTTCCCCTGATCCTCTGATGGCTGTTGAACCTCCTGCACCACACGCTGTAGGAAAAATACACTTACACTCTGTATAACATTCCTTGAATAGTAAAAGCTGCTAAAGTTCAAAACTTGAAGAGTTGTGGCCCACATTCATTATCCACAGCCTTTAAACAACTGTATTGCTTCTGCAATGCAGGACAAAAGAAGGTGGCAGCTGCAGGAACATATAATTGATACAGCAGAAAGACAGTTCTCTAACTATGTGTATTTGTGGAAACATAACAATTATAATCATTTTGTACCTGTCAGTGTGTATACAGCCTGTTAAGATTTCCAGATTCATTTATATTTCATCTTGTCCTACAAGTTCTACAAGACTCAGTCAAAACCCAACAAAACACACAAAGAACACCACCACCACCTTATTCAGTTAGCAATTTTATAACTTAAATTATACAGTATTTGCTGTTCCAAAAGCAAACAAATATCACAAAAAAGAAGAATCAGCCTTGCTACACAGTACAAACATGTTATCTAGGGTAAAATATCTGAAGTGCATAACTTATTCTGAAGTAAACTTCTTTCTTTTTGAGTTCAGTTACATAAAGTATTACCTCATAAGTGGATCAGCATTACAGACAAGGCATCTTCCATGAAAATTTGCTGGACACCTCTGCATTATTTATTATCCAACCTCCCACCCTCAGAACCCATGAGAGAACTGTCAGCTATCCACAGAACATCTGGATTTTCCAAAACTTGACCTGAAGAGTTATTTCTATTCTAGCACATTTGGAGCCTCACAAAGCAAAGTAATACAAACAGGTAAGAGCCTTATTCTATAAATAAAGGTTATCCTTGAAGTTTTCAAGTCACAGAAAACTGACTTTATGTTTCTTATGTTCCTTCTAGGCATAGAGGATGTGTCATAACCACTGTGTTTTATACAATGTTCAGCCATTCTTTTTAATTCCTTCAGTGACAGACTTGTATTCTGTCCATGAAAGCTTCAGAGAGAACACTTTTTGGTTATTCTAGTTGACCACCACCACCCCATGTGGTAAGAGGAAGACTCTTCTCAAAGTCCCAGATGAGCTTTAAAGTAGAAGAGTGACAGGCAGGTAAGAGTCAGTGATTAAATGTGGGAAACTACAGTTTGCCAATCTGCCAAAACTTATTTTCACAACCAACTCGACCAATACAAATTACAGTATTTAATACTTTTCTTCTCCTTGAAATGCTACATATTTTGGTGGTGCAGCCCCCCTCCATCATCCTGGGGCCTGCTCTGTGACCTCAGACAGTCCTGATAAGCCTTGACTGAACTGGCTGAGTGAAGTGTCCCTTGACCAGATCAGCTGAACCAGGAGGCTCTCCCTGATCTGACCAGGAGCTCCTGCATGGTACAGGTGGGAACAATGGGAAACAGCAGCTGCCCAGGCAAGGTGGTAAACAAACAGTGAACAATTATCCTTTGTAGGTAAACCTGATTTTGGAACGTTTAAGGATGTCACCCCAAGTTCCTCAAAATGATCATCTCACCCCAGGAGGATCAGCATGGCCAAGTCAGATATGGCAACACACTTTCTGAGCCCTTTCTAATATCCAGTGGTGTGAAACAAGGCTGTTCTCACACCAACCCTATTCACAATCTTTTCCAGCAGGATGCCCCAAAGGGCCAGGGCAGACCTCGAGGATCAGGACGGGACCTACATCCGATACCTCACTGATGGAAGCCCTTTCAACCCAAGGTGACTGAAGGCCCACACCAAGACCTTAAACCATCTTGTCCAGGAGCTGCTTTATGCTGATGACGCCGCCCTCGTCGCTCACACAGAAGCAGCTCTGCAGTGTTTAACATCCTGCCTTGCTGAGGCTGCTGAGCTCTTTGGGCTGGAAGTCAGCTTGAAGAAAACTGAAGTTCTCCATCAACCTGCACCTCAGGAAGTCCCCCATCATCCCCACATCACCATTGGCAATCAGAGCTCAAATCAGTCCAACAGTTTAATTCCCTAGGCAGCCTCATCTCCTCGGATGGTGAGATTGACGGGGAGACAGACAACAGGTTGGCAAAGGCATAGAGTGCCTTCAGAGAGCTTCATAATAGAGTTTGGTGAAATAAACACCTGAAGAAAAGCACCAAGATCAGTGTTTACAGAGCCATAGTGCTGTCTACTCTCTTATATGGATCTGAATCAGGGGTCATCTACCACCACCACCTGCGACTCCTGGAACGCTTCCATCAACGCTGCCTCCGAACAATCCTAAACATCCACTGGTCAGATGATGTGACCAATCCATCTGTTCTAGAACAGGCAGCAGTCACAAGCATTGAGGCCATGTTGCTGAGAACACAGCTACACATTGTCCATCCTGAGCCATAAGCAGCCTTTCATGCTTCAACATGTGTGACAAAAACAATTAGGACTTACTGCTCCCTGTCTGGTACTGGGATCCAGAAAAGAGACTCTCCTGTCTGCTCCTGCTGCTCGCTGCCTCCGTCTGGGGGTTGGTTTCTGTCACAAAACAAACACATGAGACCAGTTATTGCCACAGTCTAACCATCTTATATTGCAGTAAATGAGGAGAGACCCTGATGTGTCTCAAAGCCAAGTCTGATGGCACTAAATTCAATTCTAAATGGATGAGATGCTTTATCAGAACTCATACATGACACACTTCTCAGGTTGCATCATGGAACCCATTGAGATTTTCATAGAATATAAACTTACATTATGAAATAATATAAAACATTAAAGTTACTCCAGACCTAGAGTAATTTAAACAGCTTAGATTAAAAAAAGCCCATTAAAAACTCTAGTGTTTAATACATTTCCACCTGATAGCTTTTATTTCTTAATCAACTGTTATGTTTGGAAGTCCCTTCTTTTTCTGTGACTCTTATTTTAACTTGATTGTACTGTGCATTATATCACCAAAATTCTCTTCAATATCCAGTAAAAAAACCCAATAAAAAACCCAAAGTGAAGTAATATCGTAATACTCAAACATTTCTGAGTATTTTCTCAGAGACTTTTCTGAACAACCCATTCTAGTGATCTGACACCTAGTTGGTTTAACATTCATGAATATTGTACTAGAATAACATGTTCACAAAATCTGTCATGGCTTAAAAAAATTAAATATAATACTTTCAAATGTTCTAATGACAATTTCAGTAAAAATAAATAACTGAATTTAAGACTTTGCCTCCTCAGGAAAGGTATAATTCAACTGGTTCTTGATCTCTTTATATGAAAAACCTGTCATTCAACTGCTGTTTTCCAGTTCAAGAATCTTTAACTCCATTAACTTTCAACACATCAAGACTTGAATTAAACTATGGGAACTGAAAAAGAAAATTAGGTCACCCTGAAGCTTCTCTTCTCCATGAAGTAATTCTCTCTATGAAGTAGAGACCCAAACATACCTGGGATGGTTGTTCATGTTCCCTAAAACTGGATGTCTGTTTGTAAGGAATAATGGCTTGATCCATAGGAACTTGTAACCTGACCCAGTATTCTATGGTACCGTAATTTTGAACATGTCCTGGTTTTCCTAAGGAATAAATACGGGATTGCATTAATTTTCATTTCCAAAATAAAGCCCTTTAGTAAAAAGCTAGGAAGCCCCACAAATTAGAGATTAGCTGACTTGTGCCTGTGCATTATGACAGTGTTTGTAACAAGAGATCTGTAGCTCATGTTAGAAACAGAAACAACAGCTCCTCTGGCTCCACATGTATGATCCAAAAATCAAAATATGACTTTTTCATATTGTAATCTGCCATACTTATTGTGCAAGCTGTAAAGTGAGTTCAAGTCAAGTTCATTATTTTAATCTCTTCAAAGCAAATAAAGCTTAGGACAGTTTTGTATGTCAACAGTTGGAAGTGTCCCAAAAAGTGGTATGTAATTTAAATTACTGGCAAAAGTATCACTTTATAAGGGCTTATTAAACCAGATTCTTTACAAAAGTGGGCAGTTAGAGCTCACTGAATGTGCTGATCTGACATTTTTAAAAGTAAAAGCAAGCAGCACAGAACATTCAATACTTCTTAAGAGTGTCTTGTCCAGGATACCTTAAAATTATTTTTAAATTATGCACAATTTTAAAATAATGCACAAAATGTAAACCAACATCCCCACAGATTATTCATATAATATATGAAATATAATTAACTATAATCTCCATAGTTTGCACCTTTTTGATGCTTTACAACTATTACATGAAGACCTTTGTCCTCCCAGTTTAAATTACACTGTTTCTTCCTTTATTTATTGATAAGGAGTAAGAGAATATATTGATGGCATTTGGGCCAGCTAGAAAGCCCTGATATTTGATAGGGGTGAAGTGGGGGTCCCTCCCAGTTTGGGTTTTTCCCCCCTTTTACCATTATGAGCAAAGTTGCACCTGTCCAAGCTTTCCCACAACAGCTGGTAGAGCCACCAGAACCTGCTGCACATCCCACAGAAAGCAGCCTTCTGTATAAGGCAGCCTTCTGTAGAGAGCAGCCTTCTGTATAAGGCAGCCTTCTGTATAAGGCAGCCTTCTGTATAAGGCAGCCTTCTGTAGAAAGCAGCCTTCTGTAGAAAGCAGCCTTCTGTAGAAAGCAGCCTTCTGTAGAAAGCAGCCTTCTGTAGAAAGCAGCCTCCTGCAGAAAGCAGCCTCCTGCAGAAAGCAGCCTTCTGTAGAAACCTGGGGTTTTTCTCCCTTTGAACTGGTAATACGCCAATTTGATTTTTGCCCAAATGCACACGGCTCCCACTTCCAACAGGGCATCCAACAGAACCCCCTGTGCCATTTGCATTACCAACTAAATGTGCTGTGCTGTGGATCCTGCTGTTGCTCTCCAGGGTCCCCTGCAGGCTGAGGTGGCAGGCAGCCAGGGTTTGGTACTCGACGCCCTGGGCGCGGTGCAGCTCCAGGGGGACGCTGCTGTGCTGGAGGTAGTGGCACAAGGTGTCATCAGCCTGCACCAGGAACTGGGAAGTGAAGTCAAAGCATGGGGCACCTCCACGGACTACTGGGCTGATCTGAAGCTCAAAGTCATAGAAGGCATAAGTACAGAAGGTTGCAGGTTCCTGGTCACCAAAAGCCTGCATGGCTTCGGGAGAGAAGATCACTTTGCTGATATGAATTTCAAGAAGGTTCTCTCCTTTCTCTAAATGAATAGTTTCAACAAATCCATCCATGGGATCACCTGGTGATATTTCTGGTCTGGACTTAGGTGATTTTGCATCATAGATGATATCTCTTAGTTGGGCTGCAACAGATAAAACAGAGCTAGAATATGACTGTCTTTTTAAAAATCAAATATAATTAATGGCTGAGTAGAAAGGATAAAAGCCTAACTCAATTCTGTGAACAATGTTACTTTCTTAAAGGCACTACCAAAAAGAAGAAATCACACTTTAAATCATACATCTAATGCTCACTGAGAACACTGACAACAGTCAAGAGCATTTCTCAGTGGCTCTGCTTCAGTACACATAAAAATAGACACAGGCCCCTAACAGTTATTATCAGGTTATAAAGGAGTTAAAAAGCAAGAATTCAGAAGTTTGATGCACTGTTCAAAATAAGTATCACTATGCAAATGTACCAGAGATTTAAGATGCATGTTTTTGTAGGGAAAGAAACAATACATCTGACTTTTAACATCTGTTAAATCTTGAGTGGGTAGAACTCTCAGCAAAACCCTTCCCATGGAAGGTTGGAAGACAAAACATGAGAACTGTTACAACATCAGGGGTTGCAAGATTTTCTATTTCAGGCTTCTTATGCACCTTTTACACAGTGAAGTCATTAAAAAACTATTTGAAATAATATGTCAGTATATTATAACATGACTTCAGGGTTTTTAGCAACAGGAAGTGATTCTGTAATGACAGGAGTGCAAAACAAAAGGCTGACCATAAACATATGATTTACTTTAAAAAATGAAGTTTGGTAATTTTATTCTTATTCAGCAATAGCTGCAGCATAATCTGCTTTGTTGGATTTTGTTTGATTAGTAACTGTCATTGAAGTCAATAAAATAGTACACAGATAATTTTCCATGAAAGAACTAACCTTTCTACCAGTTTTAGGAATGGAAAAGTGTTTCAAGTGAAGAACAGGTTTACAACAGTAATTTACAAGAGATAAAATATAAAAAAAAAATAAATTAGAGAAGAGTCATATAATGTGCTGGGTTGGAGAGGACTCATCAGGATCACTGAGTCCAATAAAGATACCTTCTAGTTTTCTGATCCGTGCAGCTCTGATATCAAGAAGGTGGGCATCCTGTTCCAGTTTGAACTCATAGTCTTTCTGTATCCTTTCCAGCTTTTTAGTCATTGTTTCTACTTCAGTCTGAAAAGAAAATTCATGTAAAAATGACTTTTGAGGCTTGTCTGCACTGATATTGCAAATGCTTCTGGCAACAAATTAAAACAGAGTTAGATTTGAGGTAAAAACATTGACAGCACCCAAAAATGCAGCAGTTTTTAATACATCAATGCAGCAATCAGTTCTAATTTCAGCAAAATCTAAACACATTATTCAGAAAAACAGAGTAGCTGTTCTTTCAGGACAATGTTCCTAACAGTTTCTTTATTAAGTCTGTTATTTAAACTTAAAGTAATCGAATGAGAAGTCAAAATATGATGTGCAGTAATCCAACAGAAGAGAGTGAAAGCAGAAAGGGAAGCTTATCAGATAAGCACAGTTACTGTCTTACCTGTGAGGAGCTGATAAGAGCTCAGAGATAATGCCAAGAAAGCACAGCTTGAGGGCTCTGATGAGGATGAGTTAAAAGACTACAATTATATTCATTGGGACCTCAGGTTTTTTTCAAACAATGCTTTCAACACCACCAAATTTTATGTTCAGTTCCCCATGCACAGGCTGGCTTTGGTGCTTGCTGAATTTGCAAGTCTTAGTTATTGCAGGTGTCAAAGCTACAAATGTTAAAATGCCATTATCAGGTTATTTTCCACTGTAAGCAGAGTTTAGTACCTGGTAATCTTTGCTAATTTTGTGCTGCATAATTAACATATTCCTTGTCTTTTCAAGTTCTTGCACTGTTTCTGCATGTGTTAACTGCAGCTCCCTTATGGAGTGTTCTGAATCCTTATGGATCTCATCTTCTGGTTTTTCCAAAAGCAGAGGGTCCCCATTCTTCTGCTGCTTCCGATCCTGGAGCAAGTTCAAAAAAATTACCAGAACAAACTTTTGCAAAAGGTTTGGACCTATTTGTGCCTGACTAAATGCAACACTGGGATATACTTGTGGTAAAACAAGAAGACAGCCAGCAGAACTTTATAAATTCTGAGCACACAAAAATAGGAACAAGGTAGACTAGAAAGTGTTGGGGTTGTATTAAGCAATGTAATCTTTTCATTACCAGCACCAATTAAAGCACATCAGCTATTCAGAAGCAATCACTCCTGGCTATCCAATGAAAATACAAACTTGTTCATATATTTGCCTTTTATATAATTAATAATCCTGCTCAGTGAATGTATAAAATCTGAATTATTATTCTCAAGTCTACGTTACTTGTTATTAATGCTGGGGTTTTAATTTTCATCAAGGGTTTTTCGGTGGGTTTTTTTCTTTCTTTTTTTCATTATCCTTATATAATTATCATTTGCATTTCTGTTGCAGAAAAAGATTATATTTACAGCAAACACTTCCTCAAGAAAATAAAATGTAAGTCACTCAGTGGAAACTTGCTGCAAATTTTCTGAGTATTTTTGGTTTTCTGTTTCAATAAACAGAGAGAAGTTGCTAAGCATTGCTGTGTCACACATTAGAACTTCCCTGCTTATGCTCTGCTCGCAGAAATTACACAATTAGTGAACAAAATTGCTTTTAACAAACACTATAGGAAGAACAAAATGGCCTGATAAGTCATTTAACTGAGAAAAATGGTTGTGAATCTGATTTAAAATAATAGAATTAATGCAAAATATATAGACTCCTAGATGGTTTGCACTGGCAGGGATCCTACAGATCATCTAGTTCCTCATAGGCTTATGCTTTGTAAATTACCTTTATAAGCAAGAGAGCTTCGTTGAGTTCTGCCACATCAACATCACCTTCCTGAAACTTAAGGGAAAGATGGCATCAGATGGGAATCAAAGAAATACATTCTCACTAGACATGCCACTTTGCTTGATAGCATGAATAAACAAACACTTATATTCTGCATTCTTTTATTTTCAGGAAGTATTCGTGCTATGCATAAAACATAGAGGGTTTTTTTGTCTCATATTCTAAACAGAAATAGAGTTCACCTTGGTCAAAGACTTTACTTGATTTTTCAGATCATCTAGTTGTTGCTTTTGTTCCAGGTAGCATAACTGCAGGTCCTTGTTGTCTTGCATCAGCTTTTCCTTTTGGTCTTAATATGGAAGAAGAAAATATTAAGCTCAATTCAACATAGTTAAAAAAATTAAACTGGCTTGGACGGTTTGGTGGGAACAATAAATTGGGGAATACCAATCCTAAAACACCACACTTTGGAGTTAACAACCACACAGACAGGGACAGAAAGCTATTCCTCTTTGATACATCTCATACATGTAAGGACTAAAAAAAGGGAACCTACAGTGTCAAAAATCTACACTTTTTCTATTTCTAAATTGAGAGGTAAGGCCTGACTAAGTACAGCTTTCTGTTCTGGGGGAGGAAGGGAAGAGGGGAACAGAGAGGATATAAAATCCTTTGTCAATCTGAATGAATTTGAATTCATCTGGAAACAGGAGGCTGAGATGCTGGTCTCAAGGGTCTTGAAATGTTCCAAGGCTTGTTTTAATTTTCCAGTGTTGATATATTGACATCTTTACTAAAAATGAATCATGTGTAATGCCATTGCTCTTGTCCTCAGTAGCCTGACACGTGTGAGGATTCTTCACAAGAGTCACTTTTAATTCAGACACACAGTCACCACAGTAAGGTTTTAATTCTATACAGTTATTGAGGAAAATGCAATGCATTTGTGCAGTTGAGAAGAAAATGTAATTAGAAACACTAAGGGCTAAACCAAACAAGAGAACAGTTAAAATAAGCCTTGTGAATGGACAGAGAAGACAGCAATTGAGGCTTCCAGATCCTCCCAACTAACAAACCTGAAAGATCTGTATCTGTTTGGAGATCCCCCCCAGAGAGAAATGGCCCCTTATGTTGATTATGTTTCTTTTCCCTGTAATATAAACTGATATCTGGACTGGCACTTTTTCCAAGGATGAGACAAGATATCCCTCCTCAAGCAATTCTGTCTCACCATGGATTTTCTGGTAACAGCAACAAGCTCAGTCCACTCTTTTTCTAACATGAACTCCAGTTTTTGTACACATTTTTAATATTCATTCACACTTACACTAACTTCAAAATTGTGAACAGCCTGTTGAGAATCTGGAGAGGCACCTTTTAAAAATACACATTTGAAGAATCAACTCTAAATTAAATATTTTCAATTCCTGCCTGTGCTCTTCTTTTGTAAACCTTATATTGCTACAGGATATCACAGTGTTGAGATAAAAAAAAGAAAAGATTGCAAGCTCTTAAAAATATTCACCAGAACTTATCCTACAGCATGGGAAAAACACATATGAAATAATCTGTTCAGTAGATTATAAGAAAACTGTGTTATTGTAAATGTACAAAGCTGTAAATAAAAATTAGTATATACTGAAAATATTAAAAAATTCTGAATTAATAAAATTAAAAGACAATTAAACATCACCAGGGGCCAATATAGGCTTCATGTAACTTTGTACAGTAAACAGAAGAGTGGTTTATAACTTGAGAGAGACTGTCAGATAAGCCTCTTTTCTGTAAGAAACACTGAATAAAGAGTAATTATTAACCAAACAAATGCAGAATGAATACAGCTGAAATTATATGAGCCTCATTCAGCACATAATATGCATTGGGTCAATTTTTGTATTTAATAAATAGTCATAACATACTCATATTGAGCAAATGTACACTTAAAAGGCAGCTTTGAAAACACCACCAACAGAAACTACCCTTTTCTGGGCAGAAAACCTCAACTCCAGTCTCATGTCTTGAGAAAATAATGTATTTTTCAGAAACATACCTCTTTCTACTTTAATCTTGTCAAGGATCTCATTTTTGTCTGCTAAATCAGACTTGATAGCTGTCTCTAGTTTGGCAATCTGCAGTTTCAGCTGCTGCTCCTTGGATTTCCACTGCTGGTCGTAGGGCAGGCTGAAGACACTGAGGAAACACAGGGGACAGGAGTCAACACTGAAATGGGAGTATGTGAAAAGGCAGGTCATTCCATGGAAAAGAAAAGCAATATTGTAGATGACTGTGTTATAGCAGAAACACATTTAAATTCATCCAGTTAAACATCTTCTTATCTCACCGTGATTTATAGAGAACAAAAAGACTGTAAGTTGATTTGTAGTAAGAGTAATTTTTCTCCATAATGATAGAGGAGAAAAAAAATGATCATCAGAAATATTTATAACGTGATCAAACTTTGGAGAAATCCACAATTAACTCAGGTGAGAGACAACTCATCAACTACCTCTATAAAAAAACTAAATATTGTGATTATACAACTGTTATAAGTAAAAAAATGTGTTATTTGTACTCAGTTTTTTTACTGCCTTAACTTTTAATTTCATCACAGACAGTGCAAGAAGTGTAACAAATATTGTAAGAATACTATAAACAAAATTTGCTATCACTCACATTGTGTTTAGTCATTGATATTTTTTGACAGACATCACACTGACAAGTCAAACACTTTTAGAGGAGAAATAATTTCGATAGGAGAAAAGACTTCAAGCATTTTACCTGCTTTCTGAGGCAATTCTTAGCTCTAGGACATGTGTCTTATTTTCTAATCCTCTTTAAGTGTAAAAAAAAAAATCACATAGTTTTACAATAAAGGTTTATTTGAAGGTCATTTTAATATGCCTGTGGCAATGGACTAGAATGACTTCTTTACCAATAGCAGTGAAATGGTAGCTATTACCAAAACCAACTAATCACCTCTCAAAAATAAACATTGGAGAAGCTCTCAAATATCAGACTTTCTGTAAGTTCACTGAGAAGGGCTGGAAGAACATACAAAAAGTTCAAACACCCCTTTGTTAAAAAAAAACAACAACCAAACCAAAATTAAAAAGGAACAATCCCAAAGGCCAAAACAACCCTAATGGAATATATGTCTACCTAGATGGATTCTTTCAATAATAACTCTAAAGAAAATTATTAGAAATAATAAAGAACTTCTTGTGTTTATGTTCAAAACAAAGTGAGCCTCAGTTGTTTTTAATTACATTTTTTCAAAGCAGTAACCTACTACTTGGAGAGCATTAGGAAAAGTTGGCCCGTTCCAACAGCAGAGATGAAACACAGCCAGAGCCCCACAGGGGGTTCCAAACACCTCCTGAGATGAGAAACTGGAGCATGAACATACTGTGATAAATAAAAAACTGTGATTCGTGAAACAAATGGGTGATTACAGCAAAATAAAATGGATTGTAAAACTTAATTACACCCCCATAAAGAAATAAAACACATCCTTACAAGGTCAAGAGGCCTAAAACCTCCTTGCTATGCTAAGAATAAAATAGAGTAGAACTTTAAATCTTTAGGTGCCTGTTTGTCCAAGAATGCATGAATTATGACTGGTTGTAGAGATAACCCTTTAGCTTTATTTATATTAAATATATATATATAATATAAATGATATAAATTATATATTTTTTAATATATATATCTACACACAATATAAATATATTGTATTTATATTAAATACTTAGCAAAAACCTGTAGAATGGATATGTCTATGATAGAATTAATATGCATGAAGTAGCTCAGATAAATACTAAATGTACCCTGTAGCAGGGGTGCAGATTTGGGAAGCTGGTCCCATCTCTGTCACCCAGCTGGCTGCTTGCTTTTACCAGATAATAAACTACTATTCAAAACCTTACAGAAACTCAAGACTTTGTTTATCACAATATTTCCACATGTGCACACTCAACATGCAGATGCACATTCCAGCCCAGTGTATGAAGACCCATTCAACAGGACAGGAATCTAGTTTTTTATCTACAAAACCCAGAACTTACCTATTATGCAGCTTATCATAGTTTTCCTTCAAGAGTTCATTCTCTTTTTCTAGATAATTTATTCTTTCCTGTAACTATTATGGAGAAGGATCATTTCAGCACAAAAGGGAATTACAGTGAAGGTGTGAAGACAAATAGTTAATAATTTGTATGCATTGTCAGGCTGTTATTTGTTCTTTTTCCACAGAATCAGAATCACAGAATATTCTGAGCTGGAAGGGCCCTGCAAGAAGCACCAAGCCCAACTCTTAGCACTCTGTTCTAACCAGTGGAGCCAACCTCAGGGGCCACATCAGTCTCTCAGAAGCTTCAAAGTAACACCACAGGGATTTAAATTTGGCCTCAACAGTCTTTTCCTGTTGTTTCTGTGCAGCTGAGACTGTTGCAGTGGAACAGTATCTAATTGCATTCTCTCTTATGTAAAATAACATAAAAATCTATAGCCTTACTTTTTTAAGTTGCCATTTCAGTAAGTGACTATTAGTATTAGCTACTGTATGACTTTTGTATAATTAATATTTTTTACTGCCATTATAGAAACAACACATCCTTGCTTTTAAAATACTCACTAAAGCAGGATATGATTTTAAAGCTGAGACACCTTAACCAGGGAAGACACCTACATGCATTACAATAGTTTAAAGGTTTGGAGGAAATATCTATAAGATAATCCTGGTAAACTTGGTTCACGTAAAATACATTTAAAATATGTGAAATTAAATTTAAGTTGCTACAAAACGTAAGAAAGAACAAGTAAGCTTGTAGACTCTTACTCTTCATATATTGAAGAGAATGAGGAATAGAGCACCTGATTTTTAGCCCTAAATCTGGATGCCTGTTAGTGATGACACTGCTTTCTGAGAGCCTCTAGACAAAGTAACAGAAGTGACTGATTTGAACTGCTAAATCAGACGTAATACCACATTTAATTACCACTGTAATTAAATCAGGTCAAAAGAATACTAATAAAGTGGCAATACATTTTCAAGAAATCAAGTATGATTATTTTTCAGTTAACAACACACTTGTTCAGTATCAGAACTGACACAAAATCCTGTGGTTTAACCTCAAATACTGTCCAGACACTGGTGCAGTGATTATGTGGCAGAGGGATCAGGTGTTGCTCACAATTCCATAAAATGCAAGCAGCAGCCACTGTTTTTGATTTTAATGGGATAAAAGTACATATATAATGAGGTCAATCTTCTAAATGTGCTTGAATGGTCTATTCACATTTCTGAAATTAAAAAGTACCCCATCATTAACTTTTCCCTTATCTATATGTACTACCTAAGGCAGGTTCAAGATCTCTTGAACACAATCTCACCTCTTCTGTCCTCCTGTTTGAAATAGTTACTGATTGCAACTCTTTTTGAAGATGGAAGCACTTTAACCTTTCCTCTTTAAGTTGTGCATTCAGTTCATCACCTTTGGCTAATAAAGCATCGTGGTTGGTCCTCAAATTCTTTAGGTTCTATGAGAAGGAAGGAATATACAGGATAAAAATAAATAAAGGACTTTTAATTTCCTTTACCTTTTCGTTTACTTCAATGGATTATAGTAAGGCACATTTAACCAATTTTAATGCTGACAGAGCCTCTATTTGCAGAATATTAGTTAATATTATACTGCCTACATTCCACAATCCTTAAATAAATCCTCATTCATTAAAAATTTCAATGTAAATCACATTAAAATTATGATTTGAGACAAAACAGTCCAAAGGCTCACCTCCTGATTAATAAAATGATTGAGACCTTATGCCAAATATATATGTGAGTACAGATTAATGATTCTAGACAGAAAGAAGTTAACTTCATTTTTTCCATATATATTCCTACAAAATGGAGAAGCTGAGTATGAACCCTGTACAAATTATTTATGTTCATATGCAGCCTGAATAGACTGGAAAAGAAAAAGAAAACCATGAAAATGCAATCACTAACTTCATCTTCAGCCTTTTATATCTCATTTCTCAGTAAGAAAAATGTCATAGAGAATAAATAATATTAGCAGTCAATCTTATTTCAGAGAGTTAATGAAGTCTATTACTCATAAATTTTTAAGTCTTTCTTCAGGGCTCCTCTTACTCTGTTCTGTATCTGTGAACTGTATTTAAATAATTTCAAAAATGACACCCTAAAAATCATGTTTTTACATTCTTCTCATATCTCTCCACATTTCTTCCTCTCTCTCTTAAAGATAATGTTTGCCAAGGAAGATGAGAACGTTCCTGGAACAGAAGGAAGATCCCTCCCTCCAAATTATTATAAATTTGAAATTAAGAGGCATTCAGGCAATACATGATTTTCCACTTTAAAATAATTTCCCCAAACATATGAACGGAAGCTAAACCCTAATGTGAGAACAAAAGAGCCAAACCTCCCCAACTTTACCAAAGATTGATAAAGTGAGAGGGGTCTGGTACCTCTTTTTGTAAATTGGTACATTTAAGTCAAAGCTCTCTCTTTAAATGATCAGGAATCTCTAATGGCAACCCAGGTCACTCTTCATAATCTGCTTGGGATGACTTTGCAGATAAAATCACTAAGACCCTTCTGAAAAAGAGAAATTAAGACTAAAAATCTCTACTTCATTTGCTTGAGTGCAATGTAATATGTGGTTCACTTTCATGTACTCAGTATTGTCAGGAATTGTTGATAATCTGTTTTTCCATTTAGCATGTTAATGTGACAAGAGTATAGGAGTGTTACTGATCAAACTGCATTTACCTCCTGAAGCTGGAGGAATTTTCCTTCCATAGCTGAAAGAGCATTGCTTTTCTCAGCCAGCTGTTTACGGACCTTGATCATCTCCACGTTGTCCTGAATGTTTAGCCTTCACAATTAAAAAGAAATGAACCATGAGAACACATATGGAAGAAGATTTCGTGTGTAATACCCAAATTAATTTCTCCTCCTATAAACCATCCTACAGAATTTAGGGAGAGAAACATTCTACTGCATGGTGACACAGCAACTTCAATCAATACATCTACAGCTTTGCTTATTGTATAGAACTGGACACGACAGGAAAACAATCCTACACCTAAAGAGATTATTTGTTTTCCATTCACTTCTTTCCCACCATCCAAAGTATTTGGTGCCAGTAGAATACCACTTTGTATTCACAGTTTCCACCTGTCAAACACTGTTAAGAAAATAAGCCTTAGCAATTTATACTGGAACACCTTAAGGCTGGTACTCAAACAACCTGTAGGTGTGTCTTAACTACATGAAAATCCCTTAATATCCATGTTCTTACAATTCTGAGATTAATTTGAGAATGTACTGTTTAACAGAAAGGATGTTTAAAATAATTCCAAGTTTTAAAAAATATTTAAGTGTTTTTCCTTACTTCAAACCAGTGCAACTAAACCCTGTCCTTTTCACGAGTATGGGAAGAGAAAATAATTGTTTTCATTACTTTCATTTTTTCAGAAAGTTAAAAAAAAATGTATTAAATATAAGCAGTGTAATTTTTCACTTTAGCCAGCACACAGCAAAGGTGGGTTTTTTTCCACAGACTGCTATTGTTAGAACAGCTTCAGAAAAATCACTGAAACTTTGAAGTTTTGCTATGAACAACCCCTGGGGGAGAGAAGTATTGCTGAAAATTGGACACAAAGAATGCACAGCTTATAGCCCTCTAAGGACATGCTGAAGAAACCAGAAGAGAAAGAAGAAAGTAAGAAAGACAGTACCTGGAAAAACGATAATAAAGAGGATGACAATGTGGACTAATGAGCATGAGAAGCAAGAAAACAATAACCATTAGAAGATATAACACTAATTAGCAAAGAGAATAATATCATCTAGAACCAATGAATGTTAATTTCTTTGTTTGCTAAAAATGTATAAATACTGAAGAAGTTTTGAATGTGTGTGTGCATCTAGTTGGAGCCCCCCCCTGCCCTCAGCACTGTGAATAAAGCAGTGCCACTGTCTAATACCAAAAAATAGTGTTGGAGAGTTCAATGTATCCTGATGCTTTCAGCAGCAGTAGGGCAAATATTTTCCTACTATTTGTAGATTCCAAATTCTTAATGAGTATTAGTGAACATTAAAATGCCCATATGAGCTTATACCTAAAATTTTATAAGAATTAATAGTGAAGGATTAAAACTTTATGACTTGAACTTCAGCTGAATCCGTATCAGCTGGAAATGAATTCTCTAACATGGTAATTATGAACTTGTTTATTTATGAAAAACACATCATAACTTCTTACTGTAACTATCTCCATGGTTATTTGGAGACTCAGTTTCACTAAAGGGAAAAAATGGATAAAGCCCCTATTCCTTTACAGAAATTTAGTAATTTAGCAGTAATTTCCCCAGCTATGTATAAAGATTATGACATAGCTCTTCCAATGCTTCCACCATGGAACTCCCCAGTTTTCCCAGTACCTTTGGCTTGCTGTGCCTTGCTCTTTCAGCCTCAGGAGAGAGTCTTCAATCTCCTTTTCTTTCCTCCTCAGCTGACTCACAAGGATCTCTCTGGCATGTTCTAGTTCCTCGATGTGTTTCCTTTGGGAGTCAATCACAGTCTCCCTGCAAGTTCAAACATCTTACATTCCAAAAGCAGGGAAGTATTTAAGAAAAGGAAAAACTTCAAATGAATACTCAGCAGAGCTAAAACTTTTAAGTGTTCAGCAAAATTTGTATTTCTTAATCACAGGCATCACAACAGAGGCCTGAGAGTTTAAATTACTATGAAAACACAACACAAACTCTCAAAATAAATGTTTATGTGGACTGAACAATGCTTAGCAGAACCTGGCTGAAAACACTGTCCATGGTGTCTTCTACTCTATATTAGAATTATCTTCCCTCTGATCTATCAGTACCAAGTGTTTTCTGAAAAGCAAACCACCAGGACTAGCTATCAAAAGATTATCAGATCTTCCATGGATGGAGCAGTTAAAGTAATTTTTAAGCTTTTATTCTGAGATAGGTAAATTTACACCAAAAAAACCCACAAAAGATGTGTCTTAAACAGTGGGGTTTATGCAGTAAATGCAATTTAAAAAATAATTGATGAAAACATTTCTGTGCAATGATTTCCTGTGATCCCAGTAAATCTTTGTGTTTACACAACTCTGAGCACAAAATATATGACTGCACATTAATTCATATATTTCTATGCTTAGCTTGCCCATTTATTGAAAATCTAGCATTTACAGATGATGTCTTAAATCCAATTTAGCTAAATCATTATGAAAATAAAGAAACATGCTAAAATAGCTTTTGGAAAACCAGATTTCAAAACCCATACTTTAGAGAAGAAAAATGTTCTAGTCAGACCCCAGTATCTTTAAATTAGATGTTAACTACCTTTTCTCCAGCCTATATAACACCTATCTGCTCATGTAAACTCTGTATCAGGGATGTTATAAGGGTTTACTTTCAGTTAAAAGGTGCAGTTGGATTACAAACCAATCCTCCATGTTCCTTATCAGAAAACATTTCTGCATTGTTATTGTTATCAGATCCAACCACTTCAGTTTATTTTCTGAAGTGAAAACTTCTGAAAAGATGTATTTTTTTTCCTCTTCAAGAAAACCATAAGTTTTAAGAATAATAGTGACAAAAAACAAATAATATGAAAATCATACAAATTCCTTATTTCAGCCCTTGAATCCTCAAGCAGACTCTGTCCATATTTTGGGAGCACAAGGTCAGATGATCTCACTTCTAAATTCTGAAGTCTCATTCCTGAAAACAAAGAAAAGATACATTTTTGTCACGTTGCATGAAAAAGCATTTAACAAACCAGCAACCTCTATACAGTACAAACACTTGCAGCTTCTATTGTAGATGCCATAAAAAGTATTTTTACATCAAATTCACATGGAAAGAAACAGAGTATCTAGAACACAGCTGCTGTAAAATTTGAACTGTGGGTGATACAGCATAGTGTTAAGTGTTAAAAACATGTCCTGAGAGGTCTTTTTAGAAGATTTTACTTTCAAAGTCAGAAAGCAGAGATGGTGTCTTCTCAGAAGAACAATATCAATATTATTAAACAGGAACATGGAATTGTGATTGGGTTTTGTCAGCATTTTCTTTGCAAAATCACAAGAGTCATTCACCCAGACAGGCAACTAAAGGGCCATTTTTAGTAGCAGTGCAAATAATTTTCTTGTGTTCTTTAGAAGAATCCTAAGCCCCTAGTGAAGAAGAAAAGTCAGAAACCAATTAAGGAAGATTTGCAAAAGCAATGGTTTCTCCAAATTTTTCTACTTCTCTTTTTCCAGCAAGAAGAAATAAAGTTTTGAGGTGGGACCATTTCAAACACAGCATTAAGGCCATCCCTCAGTCCCCAAAATGGACTCATTTAGATTGAAGGTACAATGAGACCATCAGTTCCCCAAACACCTGAAAAAAATTACCTACTTTGCATTTGTGTTAACTTGATCTAATTTGAATTTTGGTCTCTAAGTATTATTTTTAAGGTACTGGTAATTGTGATATACATATATATGTGCCTGTATATATGCCTAGACTATATATATTTTTATTTACTTTTGTTCAAATCAAGGTATTTCTTGTACTCAATAAAGAAAGTATTATTTTTAAGGTACTGGTAATTGTGATATACATATATATGTGCCTGTATATATGCCTAGACTATATATATTTTTATTTTTGTTCAAATCAAGGTATTTCTTGCACTCAACAAAGAAAGTATTTTTAAGGTACTGGTAATTGTGATATACATATATATGTGCCTGTATATATGCCTAGACTACATATATTTTTATTTACTTTTGTTCAAATCAAGGTATTTCTTGCACTCAACAAAGAAAGTATTATTTTTAAGGTACTGGTAATTGTGATATACATATATATGTGCCTGTATATATGCCTAGACTACATATATTTTTATTTACTTTTGTTCAAATCAAGGTATTTCTTGCACTCAATAAAGAAAGTATTATTTTTAAGGTACTGGTAATTGTGATATACATATATATGTGCCTGTATATATGCCTAGACTATATATATTTTTATTTACTTTTGTTCAAATCAAGGTATTTCTTGCACTCAACAAAGAAAGTATTATTTTTAAGGTACTGGTAATTGTGATATACATATATATGTGCCTGTATATATGCCTAGACTATATATATTTTTATTTACTTTTGTTCAAATCAAGGTATTTCTTGCACTCAATAAAGAAAGTATTATTTTTAAGGTACTGGTAATTGTGATATACATATATATGTGCCTGTATATATGCCTAGACTATATATATTTGTATTTTTGTTCAAATCAAGGTATTTCTTGCACTCAACAAAGAAAGTATTTTTAAGGTACTGGTAATTGTGATATACATATATATGTGCCTGTATATATGCCTAGACTATATGTGTTTTTATTTACTTTTGTTCAAATCAAGGTATTTCTTGCACTCAATAAAGAAAGTAATGAGAAACCAGAGAGTATTTACTGAAAATCCATACCTGACGAGGACTTTTGGCTGAGCTTTCCATGGTATTTTTAAATCAGCCAAACACAAAGCAGACACAGCAAGACATATTTCTTTCTTTGTCCTGTCTCCTCACACCTCACAGAGCTAAACCTTCCCGAATTTTTCCAGGCGGTTTTTTTTATTTTTGGATAATTGCTCAGCGGATTTTCTGACCTGCACTGCAGATGTTGTGAGGTTCAGACTGAGGAGCACCCTGTGGGCTCCCTGTTTGTGACACATGTGGCAGGTACCTCTCTTGGCGTGCTCGGGCGTGCCAGAAGCCTCGGTGCCTTTCCTGAGCCCGGAGTTGACGCGGGCCTGGACGTGGCTGTAGGGACAGGCCCTGTGGCCCTGGATCTGCAGCTGCTGCTTGGTGGAGATGAGTTTGTTGCGCAGGTTCTCGTTCTGTTTCTCCAGCTCACGAACTCTCTCTTGCAGATGCTCCATCATCTCCTCCAGCTCCAGGGCCTGGCCCAGCCTCCTGGGCCCACCCCCTGCCTGCTCGGCTTTTCTTTTGTCGTTAACAAGCCGCATTAACTTGGTGGTCATTCTGGGGGGAAACAGTCCAAAAAACAGGAAAAGGAACGTGAAAACGCAGCATAAAAAGTATTCTGTTGAAAGAAACGTGGTCACTGTGAAGGCTTCACCATAGAACCTGGATAATAAAGCCAGGTTTTGGTATAACTTACTGCCTGTGCAGAACTCTCTGAAGGTAACTGAACCCACTGTGCAGCAATGTGCTTTACAGCTGAGCTGCAGTTCAGTTCCCCAGAGCAGCCCTCACAGTGCTGTGCTTGGCACTGGGAGCTAGAAAGGTGTTGGTAACACCCCAGTGTTTTGGCTCCTATGAGCAGGGCTGGCACAGCACCAGCACTGGCACATTCCTCCCCCGCCAATCGAGGGCAAGATTCTGGCAGGGGACACAAGCAGGCCAGCTGACCCGAAGTGACCAAAGGGATATTGCAGACCATGGAACATCAGCTCAGATAGAAAAGCTAAGGAGAGGAGGAGGAAGGGGCTCATTTGTTTTTTGCAGTGTTTGCCCTCTGGAGCAACCACTGTGTGCTGAATTCCTGCTCCCCGGGAAGGGGCCGGACATGGCTGCAGGTGGGAAGGGGAGAATAAACCTTGTTATTTTCCTCTTGGCTTGGGGGTGCACAAACTTTGGCTTTGGCTTTAGTAAAGTGCCTCATCTCAACCCACAAGTAGTTTTCCATCTTATTCTCTCTCCCCTGTCTGGCTGGGAAGGGCAGTGACAGTGGCTTGGTGGGCACCTGGCATCAGGCAAAGGTCAACCCACTACAGCTGACAAATAACAGTTTCCTAAGGCTTCTGATTGAAGGTTAGTAAAGGAAGGAAGCATATTTGCCCCACAGGCTGCTTAATTTTAACACATGATCTTCTATTAGAACCTCTGCATGCTGTTAAGTGAAGTTACAGACTTTGGATGTGATGGGGCAAACTATAAAAGCTACAATTCCACAAAACATTCAACTATTGAAAGAATGATAATAATATGCAACATTCCAATGAGATATAATTTCCAGTATTTTAGGATTTAATTATATATTTCATTTCTAAAGTGGCTAAAATACATAAATGGAGATATTTAAGGTACTCTGTAAAAAGAGACTTAATAGTTGCCATTACCATACTCAATTTTATTCTGGGTAAATATGACCAATGTGCTTCAGAGAAGGAACAGTGAGCTGAAAAATACAATCAGATACAGAGGGTATGGTTGCCATCTATCTTTAAAAGGACAAAAGGAGAAGGGTGGCTTTGATGAGACAGACAAGTTCAAGACTTTACAAAACTGGCCACATATCATCCAGACCTGTATCCAGTTTACAGGGAATCTATTTTTGAAAGCCCAGAAAGAAAACTGAAAATAAGGAGACACTTAATTTGTCTAAAGGGGCTTGTTAGATTTTTGGATACTTGTGGACAGAAGCTTCTACCTGAAAGAACAAAATTAAACCAAACACATCTGTAATAGGATGTCACAGAATGTTACTTGCCTGTAAGCAGGTTTTTTGTTTATTTGGTTTTTTTCAGGGTAATTCTACTAGAAATTCATTCCAAACTTCTAGTTACAAGGGTTTTGCCATGAGGGAAGCTAAGGAAGAAATTCAGCTTTAGATTTAGCTTTAGATTTTTCTCTGGGAGTCTAGACAAACACTCTCTATTTTTTATTTTCTGTGCCTTGCTCTACCAATTTGGACATTATGTGTAATTTTACCTAAGTGGATATGGAGTGGTATGTCCCATGTTGCTGTGCACAGAAACAGAGGAACAGCCATTTGTAAGGAAACAATTAATTTGCTCTATCACCTTATATCTGACAACAGTCTAACAGAAAAGATGGAAATTATGTCCTGCTGGTCTACTGGATCCTGGCTCACTGAACACTGAGCCATAAGGGAAGAATATTCTGGACTTTAACAAAGTATGAAACAGTCTCATGTACAGAGGCAATATTTTCAGCTGCCCTTTGATGAATTTGTTGGCTTCTGGTGAGAAGCCTGATCACATGCAGCAAGACTTGATTAGCAATTAGCACAATGGGAACACACAGGAAAAGTGGTTTGGGAGTAATCAGCCCTCCTGCAACACACTAATACCACAAACAGTTCTGCAGAGTCCAGATCAGCTGGATTAACACACAGATCTTGGCACACTAAGGTCAGTAATCAGCCTAAGGTTGTTTGTATATGTTTGGGCACACTGGGTACTGGGCTCCCCATGCTCCCTGGGACTTCTTCATTGGAGTTATCTATTATGCTGAATAAAGGAGAGCTGATTATAAAAATATTTTGGTGCTAATTCAATGATAAAAGGCTGGATGCTAGTCAGCTTCTTCAAAAAACAGACAGAGACAAAAAAAGGGGCAGCATCTCTCTGTATAGGTCGTTTTGATTCTAGAATAAAACCCTTGATAAATCATTAGGCTTCTGTAGCCTCTTCTTCAATTCCCAGAACACCTGTTACATTTGTACTTTGCCAGCACAGCTGGGAACCCAAAGTGCCAGCTCCAAAGTAGCAGGTAGCAGTGTACCTCTGTACATGGAGATCTAACAGGGTTCACTGCAAAAAGCATCTCACACACCCAGAGACAACCAGGAACCAACACAGAAATGGATTCCAAGGCGTGATTTTTACCACGGCGTTAGAAAGCGCTCCGAGAGAAACCAGCGGGACTTTCAACACGCTGATAATGTTTTGAGGGGCAAAAAAAAGTTTAAAATAAAAATCCTAACCCCCCTACCTTTTAATTTTCTCCTCCTGTCTGTTTGCATGCTGTTTGAGCAGGAGGTGGTCGTCGCTGATCCGAAGGAATCTGTCCTCCAGCTCCTCGCGGCTGATCCGCGACACGGCCTGTCGAGCTTTCACGTTCTGTGCAGTCGGTGCTTCTGCCCAAACCAAGGCAACCTCAAATTACCCTCAACACAATCAACAGCACGTAATTCAAAGCCTACCTCACTTTGAAATGCTGGGAAAAAAAAATTCATGAAAGTTTTCAAGTCATTTGATATTTTACACTGCCATCGGTCTGAGAATTTTTTCAGATTTATTGGCACGTTAATCACTTCCTTTTTCCTTCCTCTTAAAGACTAAAAAAAAAAAAAAGAGTTCAAATGATGCAGCAAACTAAACAAAAAAACCCCCCAAAAACCCAAGCCAAAAAATTTTAAAACATTATCTACTAGACCAGGCAAAGGTAACAATTTAGCAAGCAACAAAGTACGATCAAACCTACTACTGAAAAAATAAAATTAGCATTACAATGAGGATGCTTTCAAATCTGTTTCAAAGTCAACATAGTCTCTTGAAGCTTGAAAGGGTTAACTCTTAATTCTGAAAGTAAGTCCCGTAGTTCTATTCTAACAGCAGCTGAGTAATATATAAGAATTGTGTGGTACTTTTGGTTCCAATTTTTTTAAATGGATCTGGCCTTGACCTTAATTCAGCAAAAAAGTTCTCTTGCCTTTTGGAAGGAGGAATGTTACAGCTCAAGGAGTCTTCCAGGCTTTAGCATCTCACAGCAGGTCCTCTCTTACAACAACCAACTTAAACATAGAATAGGTCACAGCACCTTTCAAAATTTAACTGAGATTTTGAATGGTATTTGAACTTAATTTTGCAAGTGGGAACATCAAAAGCATCTTTAGAAAGAAACCAAAGCCACTGATCCACGTCTGTAAGTGCAATAAGCAGCATCTGGTACCAACCTTGTGGTCCCTCAGTTCCAGCTGGAGTTTGACCTGGCTCTCTCCCAGCTGGGTCCCCCCCAGGTTCATCAGCTGACACAGGCATGGCTTATCCACCAGGAACACACTCCAACTGAAATGATTCTCCAGCTGCAACTGAAACTGGGAGACCAGAGTGAACCACAACACATCATGTAAAACAGTGACAAAAGTCATGGCAGAGGCACAGAAATAACAAACTCACCCGTGACTGGAAATGCTCCCGTCTCAACTGGATTGCTCAGGGGACAATCTGAATTTTAAGTTTCACTTTATGCTAACTTTTATCCATGGACAAAACACAGCTTTTTTGTTACACAACAGCTCCCACTGTAAATGCAGAATTATAATTGTTGTCTTCAGAAATCTCTGGGCTAAGGCCATATTTCCAAATAGATGGGGGAGGGGAACCTGTGGAGATTTTTGGGTTTTTGTTTGGGGTTTGGAGGGGTTTTTTTAACTATTTATTCATTTTAAGACAGGTCAAAGCTTAAGGCATCAACTGGTAGGTGACTAATGCCATCTTCCACATTTTCAGTGGGACTCTGAAACCAAGGTACTGGAGGTTATGGACTCATTTCCATGCCTGCCATTCTCTTAATCTTCTTGCAATCATTGTCATAAGAGAAATTACTTTTTAAGACAGAGACACTCCTATGAATGACTCTCATAAATACCAAGACATTTCTTTCTTGAGGCAGCAGAAAGTTTAGTTACATGCCAAAGTGAGATTAGGAAAGTATTAATGTGAGAAAGTACTACATTTGTTTCAGAGTAATATATGAAGAAACTTGTTAACCACTGCTGTTTCTTTCTTGTCTTCCAGTGCACAAAATTAGCTGCTGGCCAGAGATTCAAGTAATGCTGAAACAGCAAGAAAAGGAGAAACATAAAGTCCTTTGCACGGCCTTTTCCTCCCACTATTGTTACACTCCTGAGGTGATACAAATCCCTGGTGAACTGAAAAATATCTAGGAATGTGTTGGGAAATGAACAGTGATGTTACTAAAGACCTGCACCAGAGGATAGAAGCTACACAGACATTCCATGAAATATCTGTTAATTTTATCATAATCAAAGCTGCTGCTAGAGCAATGCCTTCCTTCTACTAGTAAAGTCTTCTGTCATGAACAGGTGTCCTTATGGCTTTGTCCAAAAGGAACAAAAAGGTTATTAATGGAAGTTTAGTTTCCAACCAGTCAGTCTTTCTTTCAATTCTTTTCACTAAAATTTAGTATTATTTCCAGCTTTGACTGTTTATAAAAACCTGGACCCATTTTTCTTTCCTGTGGAACAAATGCTTCCTTATATGTCACTGTACCAATGTCTTTACAGCAACTGAGATTAAAGAGAAACCAAAACCTTTACCTCGAGATAATCAACCCAAATTTGGTTCGTGATGGTAGCAAGGGGAAGATGTTACAATTATGTCTTTCCAGAATGTAGATGTCTTTGTCTTTTGACTCACAAATCAAGAAAGACAAAGGTTTTTGGCAAATTTCAGAGATGTCAAGAGCTAAACAAATATTTTATCACCAAGACTCCACAGGGTTTGTGATCTATCAAAACCAAGCTTCAAAAACACCACCACAATAACAGGCACAGGCAAACACTACTGGTTTTCACTATTTCCTGCTTGCTTAAGAAACTTTGCTATGGGTGTTCTCTTCAGTGTTAAAGAAATCCATTCATTTAAAAACAAAGCCAAAACAACATATGCTTGTACCTCAAATAAGAGAAAGCATAATAAAGCAAGAGAGATAAATTTGTATTTATATCTTGCCAGATCCACGTCATGCTGAACCTTAAAAACTTAAATCAGGTTTTATTTCCAAGAAAGATTACTCTACAGTCACTTCAGCACTTGTTAATCAAAAATTAAGAGAAAAGAACTTCACATATGAAGAGAGGAAAAAAAATCCATATCTCTAGGATTAACCTAGTATAAGTAAGAATTTTACATGTAGTTACTAAAGTTAAAGAAACCTTAACTTTCTTATATACTGCACTACTTTAAAAACTGGTTCTATCACCACCAGTATCTGACAAAAAAGTGCACATGACTTTGCAGTGTTAGACAAGACCAGACCACAATGAGATGGATACTTAAAACTAGAGTATCAAAGCTCATGCTTTAGGTCCAAATTCCTGCAGAACTCCCAGAAGTGAACTGCTGTCCCAGCATCATTCAAAAGTCGCAAAACTGCAGATTTTAAATTATCAAAAGTTCTCAGCCAGTGGGGCTAGATGGGGTTTCTAATGAAATCTTAAAAACATTTAATTGTTTCAATACGGATTTAGATTTTCCTGAGTCTCGGACACAGCCAAGATGATGCTTTTCTCACAAAATCCTGTCCCACTTCTCTGACAGAAGGAAGAAGAAAAAAAGAAAAGGAAAAAGAAAAAAAAGGAGGAGAAACCACTTGTCTACCTTGGCCTATCACAAAGTATTTCCAGCCTACATTCTCTCTCTACTGACTCCTTCAAAGATAAACATTTACTCTATTTGGCTTGTCATCTAAAATAATCTCATTTATTACTTGGAAGGAGTATTCACTCATATAAACTTTCACATATCATCTTTCAAACATGCAGTGCTGTGACTTTTGGGAGGTGGAAAGGAAAAAAAGAGAGAAGATAGTAGGAAACAAGATCACAATATTCTGCTGTAGACTGAGGGGAGAAACACCTCTCAGACCTGTAAGTCCTACTACAACACAGAAAAATCAAAACAACCTCGTCTTGCCTTTAATATATTTTACAAGTGCCTTCCAAACTTTTCTCCAGCTCCGCCAGTTCTGACAAAGCCTTGTACGACTGGAAGGAGCAGGGAGGGAAGGCGGCGTTCGCCTCACGAGGAGTGGTCCCAGTCTGGGCAGGGTCTGAGCATTGTTTTTAGGCTGGATCTGAGGACCTGTCCCAGTCTGGGCAGGGTCTGAGCGCTGGTTTTAGGCTGGATCTGAGCACTGGTCCCAGTCTGGGCAGGGTCTGAGCACTGGTTTTAGGCTGGATCTGAGCACTGGTCCCAGTCTGGGCAGGGACCTCTCCGGACACAGGAACGCAGCTCCCGCTCGAGCCCAGCGGCCTTTCTACGTACAAAGCAGCAACCAAGGCAGCCTCAGGGCTATTTTGATTAAAGCCGTGAGGCACTCGGTCT